TTCTAGATAGGCAATCTGTCTATGTGGACTAGTAATTTGTTTACAAAGGGGACACTATCCAAATTTGAAGAGAGTACTGCGAAAGACAGGTGCAAAACAGCTGTTACATTGAACTAAGCCGGTCATTTTGAAATAAAATAAAATCACAATCTGAAGTGTGCTAATCCAGATTGTATTATTGCTTTTGGTTTATAGATATATGATTCACACGCTATTAGGCAGGCGAGCTACTACCTAGTCCTCTTTGCCCCCCCCCCTTGCAGCCAGCAGCTCCAATCACCATCCTCAGGGAAGTTCAAAGGAAATGGAGTTAAAGGGCCCCTACCTTTGTCTCTCTGACTCCCCCCTTGTAGAAAACAGCTCTACACAGCAGGTATAGAAGTACGAAGCTACAAAATGCATATCGTTTCCGGGCAAGGAGCCTTGATGACAAGGAAGGACTTTGGTGGGAGAGGCCCTCTGTTAATGGTTGGCAACGGAGGAAGCATCAGAGCCAGGGGCCGGGACTCCCAGATGGGGAGGCACCTAGCAGTTATGCCCCCAAGTCCTTTCGGCCACCAGGCCACCTCCTTCGGGATGGGCAAGGGGGGCATCGGGGGTTGGAGGGAGAGCGCGGGGCTGGGACAAACTGGCCTTGCTTTACAAGGACGGGAGGCCCAAAGAGCTTGGAGTCCATGTTTGCTGCCTAGCAGAACCCAGAGGAGACCCCAGGGAGCCTTCCGTGATACCGGCGGTTTGTCAGTCCTCCTCCTGGCAAATCCAGATTGACACCACTTGGCATATAACGTGCCAGTCTCCAAGGATTAGCCCAAGATTTGGCAGAAGCGGCTGATCCTTTCCCCTTCATGAGCTCCCTCCCAGGGCTATAACTAGGCCAGCCCCAGCCCCAGGCCCCTCGCCTTGTCCTCCCCTGCCCTTTGGGTGCAGGTCAGCAGGGCCCTTTCTCAGGAGTCCTGGGCTGCTTTTGGACACGGAGGCTCCTGCTGCTCGGGCAGGTGGGGCTCCTGGGCTGCTAAGCCCTGCGTGGCATTTCGGCTTCCCACTGAGCCAGTGCTCAGCAGCTGCCCTGGGCTCCGGCTCCGTTGGCAGCTCCTGCTGAGTGATCCAGGAGCCACGTTCCTTGAGAGGCAGGTTATCCCGCGGCTGGCAAGACGGACCGTCCTGCTTGGCACCAAGGCTGCTCCTGCTGGCTCCTGCTTCAGGGAACAGCGCAGAAGCTGCTCCGTGTGACGAGTGCGGATTATGTTTGTTACATTATTTGATCACTGAAGGTTTGGCAGCTTTGCACAGTTGGATGTGGTTAGGTTTTAGGTTGACTTTGTTTTGGCAGTTGTGTCGCACGCGCTCACTTTGGGGAAATACGTTTTTGCACAAGTGATGAAATGCTGCCGCTCTCTTTCCCACCCCAGCCCTCCTCCTCAGTCATCGCTGCCTCTAGTCTCGGCTGGGGAGGAGAGATTCCCCGATGAAGGGGGGTTTTTCCAGCTTGGCTCTCCCTCCTCCTGCTTCCCTCGGTTCTTGCTCAGCAGCTTTTTTTTTGGGGGGGGGGAAGGGTCTCTCTTCCCCTGAAAGGGCCACCGACTCACGAAAGGCAGCGGGGGGGGGGGGCGAGAGAGCTTCCCTCCCACTCTGGGTGGGCCGCTGCATAAGGAGGCAGGCCGTGGGGCTGCCGGAGTGGCAAAGCAGAGGGCATTTGCACCAGGAAAGTGGCACAGATTTGGGTTTCCTTGGTGACAGATCCCCAGCAGGAAAGTCGGGGGCTTAAAACACCGGAGCGAAGGTCTCAGCTGGGGTGTGCCGGGATGGGTGGAAACGACCCCGTGGAAAACCCTAGAGGAAGCAATGGCAGCCTGGGGGTTCCTCCGCTGGGCTCCCTGCCTCTCTCCCCACAGCTGCCCCCAGGGCCGTTGCTGGGCTGAAGGACCCGGATTGGCAGGAACTGAGGTGCCTTTGAGTTCATTTTGCCCTCTTCCTGTTAGATCCTCAGCTTTACTCTGGGGGCTGAAAAGCCAATGCACCTGGTCCTCACTCTCCCCGTTTCCCCCTGAAAACAGCCCTGTGGGGGAGGCCGGAGAAAAGGAAGCCCCTGGCAGCCCAAGAGAGCTTTGTGCAAGTGGTTCTCGGAGGCCTCCTGGGCACAAAATGGGCAATCGGGGGACCAAGAGGCCAGTCTTGGAAGGGGGGGGGGGCAAGGCCGAAGGCAGAGACAGAGACCGAAGGGAAGCCTGACCTGGAACTCTTCAGCTGCCCAAGAGCAAAGGCCTCCTCCTGGCCTCCCCCTTTCTAAACCGAGGGCGGCCTGGATTTCCTGCAGTTGAAAGCAGCTCCACAAGATGGAACTCTTGGCCAGGCCACTCTGGTCCTCTGAGTGCTCTGGATGAGGAAGGAGGCGCCTGAGCGGGGAAAAGCTTCCTTTGGAGGTCTCCGTTCCCTTCCAGAGTTTCTGGGGCATTTGCAGAGTCCATTTGCTCTTCTCCCTCCGCCCAAGCACCTGCTCTGATTCCTGCATCCCCACCGAAGGGGGCTTTTCCTGTTTTGGGCCACTTGGAGTAGTTCAGGATGAATGCAGCCCATTTCCACAATCTTCCTCCAATTAGTAGATTCATGGGAAGCCACCATTCAGAGCACAGTTTAGAGAAAGTCGCTGGCATCTCTGTCATTCCTGCGAGGCATCACCTGTTATTGGCCAGTTATTCAGAGTTGGAAATAAATCGTTCAATGGACCAGTCTTTTTTCCTGCTCTCTAGTAGCTGTAAGCGCTCAGAATATATACCAGACTGCGAGGAGCAGCCGTCCTTCTGCCCCCACCTGCCCATTCTGGGTTTAATAATAGCTGCTCTCTTGCTTCCCCTTCCAGGTGGCCATAAAGATCATTGACAAGACTCAGCTGGACGAAGAGAACCTCAAGAAGATTTTTCGGGAAGTGCAGATCATGAAGATGCTGTGCCACCCTCATATCATCAGATTGTATCAGGTCTGGCGGCTGAGTAACTCAGACGGGCAACGCGTTGGCAAAGGCTTTGGCAGGAGGGGCCTCCAACCTTCGGGCTCCTCTCGATCCAAAGGGAGCCTCTGCATGTCATGGGGGGGGGGGCTTCCTTCTGCCCCTTCCCCCACTCAATAGGCCTCTGGCTGATTCAAACAAATGCAAGGATTTCAGAGTAAAAGACGTTGGTTGAATGCCAAACAGCCGGGTGTAGGAGATGACCGTAGAGCCTCCGTCTGTGGAGCCTTTGGCACTTCTCCCCTGGGGGACCCCCCCCCCCCCAGAAGAGGCCAGATTGGCGGAGGGTGTTTTGTTCTGAGCCTGTTCTCTGCCCTTGTGCAGG